ACGTACGCTCTTTCATGGGATTGGCTGGATATTATCAGCGATTCGTCGAGTCATACTCGAAAGTGGCAGCGCCTTTGTCGAGACTTCAGTCCCCGAAGGTGCCCTTCGAATTCGACAACGCAGCCCGTGGCGCGTTCACTACGTTGAAGGCAGCGATGCAAGCCGCACCTGCCCTCCGTATATATGACCCCACCCTTCCCACCCAAGTGACTACAGACGCTTCGGGATACGACATTGGGGCGGTGTTGGAACAGTGCCACGAGGACGGTTGGCATCCGGTCGAGTATATCTCCCAAAAGGTGCCTCTCGTCAACACTCTCGACGATGCTAGGAAGAAAGAGCTACTCGCGTTCGTCACCGTTCTCAAACGGTGGCGCCACTTTCTTCTCGGCCGTCGGCGTTTTAAATGGAATACGGATAACAATCCGTTGACATTTTACAAAACGCAGGACACKGTCACAAGCACGATCGGTCGATGGATGTATTACATCGACCAATTCGACTTCGACCCGTGCCACATTCCCGGTCCCGCCAATCGAGCTGCGGACGCCCTATCGCGACGACCCGACTTTTGTGCCATTGTGACCACGGCATTCGACCTCGATGACGATCTGCAGCCGCATTTCGTCAAAGGCTACAAGTCCGATCCGATTTACTCTACGCTTTACGCAAAGCTCTCATCGGATCACCCGCCGGCTAGCCACTATCGGATTTTCGACGGGTTCCTTCTCCTTCACACGAGAGGAAAGGACTTGTTAGTCGTGCCCCAAGATCGCATTTTACGGACTCGTCTTCTCGGCAAATTCCACGACGCACGACTTTCGGCACACCTTGGCGTGAACCGCACATTAGCACGCCTCCGCCAGCGTTTTCACTGGCCCGACGTCCTTCATGACGTCACGAGGTACGTGGAATCATGTGCAGTTTGCCACCGTAACAAGGGTCGATCTCGAGTCCCCTTTGGCGAACTGAAACCGTTGCCGATTCCTCGGGCACCGCGCCTCTCCATTGCTATGGACGTGACAGGCCCGTGTCCCCGCGATCGCCACGGCCATGACGGTATTCTCACGGTCGTTGACCGTTTGAGCAAGTATGCTCGCTTCCTTCCTTGCAAGTATCATGCTGCAGCACCCGAGCTCGCACGACTCTTGCACACCGGTTGGATTACCAACCAGGGTGTTCCGGAAGACAAAGTGAGCGACCGAGATACTCGCTTCATGTCAACCTTTTGGACTTCCCTCATGGCTGAGTCAGGTACGACTATGAAGTCGAGCTCGGCTCGGCACCCGCTGACGGATGGCCAGACGGAGCGAGCACACCAAACCGCTCAGCTGATGTTGCGTACGCTCATCCGTCCCGACCAGAAAGATTGGGTTGACCGGCTTCCCGACATCGAGTTCGCCTATAACACTTCGGTGCATCCGGCGATCTGCGTCACACCATTCGAGCTATATCATGGTGGAGAGAAAGCACGGATCTTCGCTGATCTCCTTTTGCCACAGGCTGCCGACATAGACGTCCCTTACTCTCCCGCTTCCGTTTGGAAGTACCGGGACTTGCTGATCAAAGCCCGCGCAAATATGCAAAAGGCTCAGATCCGCATGCAGCAGCAGGCTAACCGATGTCGACTTCCATGTCCTTTCCGCGAGGGAGACCTTGTTTGGGTCCTCTCCRAGGAATTTGCGCTCGAGCAGGAYGTTTCGCGCAAACTCCTTCCGAAATGGTTCGGACCATGGGAAGTCACTTCTGCCGTTGGAGACGACCCCGCAGGTCCTTCCTTCGTGATCAACATTCCACGGCACCTTACAGTGCATCGGGTCTTCCACGCATCGAAGCTGGCCATCTACACGCCACCTTCAGTTGACGAGTTTCCCGAACCTCGATCACAGGATCCGCCTTCTATGGACGGACATCAGGAAGTGGACCGAGTCATCACGCACCGCAAGTATGGCAACGAGCCAATGCAGTACAAAGTCACATTCAAGCAATGTGCGTCTGACGACACTCGGTGGATCTCTAGTGCAGATTTGCAGACTTCTGCACCCCTCATCTTCGCCAACTATGAGAAGACACGACTTGCCATGGCAGCAGCTCGTCCCACCCGACCCATCCCGAGACAACTCCGCCCTCGCAGGTAACTCGGTCTTTTAAGAGGGGGAGTGTGTTATATCTTCGACGCCACACGGGTCCTACCGGACCCGACATAGGGGTAAGGGACACAGTAGGGCCAAAGGCCCGACCTTGGGGGTACTACAGGCCGTAAAGGCCTTACCTTGGACCAGACCCGACGGGCCGGCCCAAACGATATTACCGTTTGGGCCTGGCGGCGCTCTTGAGGCTGAACCGTCCATCTGGACGGTTCAGGGCACGGTCAGGGCTCGCAGCATAGAGGCCGACCTCTGCCCACCGGTACAAAAGTACCGGTCCAGCCTCAGTGAGGCTATCGACCTACTGGCACTCTACCAGTACGGTATGGTACAGCGCACATTAGCGCTGGCGCTATCTTTAGCGCAGGAGCAGCGAGGAGCAGCGCAGCTCAGCATTAGCGCAGCAGCGGCGAGCGGAGCAGCAGCAGGGCGACTGAGCCAGACCGGCGGCCATCGCCGCCTGAGGTATCAGGGAGCCGGAGGTTCTATCCTCCCTCCCATCGTCAGTCCCCTCTCTCTCTCTCTCTCCTCCTCGGCTCCTCCTTCTTCTTCTTCTTCTTCTTCTTCTTCTTCTTCTTCTTCTTCTTCTTCTTCTTCTTCTTCCTCTTCTTCTCTTCAGACTCCATAAATTCTTCTTCTTCTTCTTCTTCTTCTTCTTCTTCTTCTTCTTCTTCTTCTTCAGACTCCATCTTCTTCTTCTTCTTCTTCTTCTTCTTCTTCTTCTTCTTCAGATTGGAGACTTATACTAGTGGACAGAGATCAGTGTTGGACTTTGCTGGTATGAGACTGTGATACTTACCGGATTGGAGACTTGGAGATTGTTGGGGTTGATACTTGGCGGCATCACAGTTCGGACACCGGTTACATTTGGACTCTGTATCTCCGACATTGGTGACTGATTGTCCTCGACAATTTGATCTTGTTGGATGACATTTTGGACTACCATATCGGTGACCTATCGGATTCTATCTCGGTGACCTACCGGTGCTGTCTACCTCCCCCACCTCCTTCGTCTCTCCTCCCACCTTTCATCTGTGTATGTGTGGAGTGATTCTAGGAGTCAGTCTATGTGAGTCAGTC